TTGAATGGAAATAAACATCTGTCTTATTGGCTGACAGGTACCTATCTTGTGAGCTGTGACAATGTTTAAACTGTCAGTCGGACTCAGAGTTTTTGAAGATAAGAAAAACATTTCTTAAAAAAGACAACAATTCTCAAGTGGTGGCTCTGGGGTTGTGAATTGTCGTCTTTTTTAAGAAATGTTTTTCTTATGTCCATCTTCAAAAACTCTGAGTCCGACTGACAGTTTATTTTAAATAATAAACAAGGTATGTACATGTCAGTAAACTTCCAAGTTATGCGAACATGTAAGCAAAGCATAAATTACAGCTACGTTGACGTTACTTTGAATCGCGGGGGTAAGCTAAACCGTTAGCAAGTAGCTATAGCTAGCCAGATATATTAAATAAACACGTTGTCATATAATCTAAATGTAATGTTTTTTAGCGTTACCTGGTGATTTCAAAGAAAGCTCTCTGGGAAATGTTGACTTACTGTTCGACATGAAGCTAGAAGCTACCTTACAGTACACAGTTGATCCTGAGTCCTGTCAGTTAAAGTGTTTCACAGTTAGCTTAGCTAAGCATCAACCTAGCACTGAAATATATGGATGTTATGTGACAGTATTTCTGAGAAACAGTCAGCTGAAATGGTGGCATGCCACTGCTTTACGTGTCGACAGCATGTTGGAACGTATTTGCAGCAGTAAATGTGGCTGTTTGAACACTGACGTTGCCATAACAACACCTGAATTTAAATGTGCAACCTCTTTTTGTGACAGATTTTTGCAAGAAATTATAATTCTTCTGAATGATATTCCTATTGACAGATAGTTTCTATGTGAACATTATGGGATGGACAGCCAGAGAGAATAAGAACCTTTCACAGAGGTCGAGGCCGAGGTCGAGGATCGTGGGCTTAAAAGGGTTTTTGACCACTGCTCTAAAGTATCTTGGAGATTCTCTTGGATTATTAAATCATACATTTGTGCGAATTTCTGGTTTGAAGTGGTTCATTTATTAGGATAATCACAAAAACCCCATAAACTGGAATTCTCACTGAAATTGTAAAAGCAAGAATGAAAGGGCGTTGAATGAGTTCATCTGTACGTTATTCTTCGTCAGTGTTTCTCTCACTCGTCCTCAGCAGGTGAATCAGCAGCTGTCTCATCGCTCGCTGTAGTTTCTCTTAATGAGTTTTATTTAATTACCCCCGGCTCCCTGCAGATCTGATCCTGGACCAGCAGCGGATGAATTAAAAATCAGGAGCTGAAGTCACCGTGAGATTTCCCCCGACACGAGGACGCGTTGTGTGTTCTTTCACACCACGCTTATAATCCTGTGTGTGTTCTGCTTGTGAATGTGTTTCATACTGAGGGTTGCTCGGTAAAGCCCTGCTCGGATTGGAGAGAGAAAAGATGCATAACAACCAAAAATAATGAAAAACTGCACAAAGAAAGGACAGAAAACAGAAAAGCACCAACGAGACGTCACGTGACCAAAAGAGGAAATACATCGACCTCAACATGAGATGAAAAACAACTTACGGGTCGCAAAACGCAAAACGCCCCATGAAGCCCCAGAACATCAAAGAGATGCAACACTTCTAAAAAGATGTGCAAATAAAACAGAGATGCTAAAGAGCAATAACTCTAAAAGGATGAACATCTGACAAAAAGAGACAAAAACTACCAACAAAAGAAGTAAAACGACCAAAAGGTCCAAAGCACAAACCACTCAGAATAACTGCTCAGTGCTGAGCTGAGAAAGAAGGCAGAACAACAAGTATAGTAATGCCAGGCCACACACACACACACACACACACACACACACACACACACACACACACATATGCACACACACACACACACACACACACACACACACCACACACTCACATATGCACACACACACACACACACACACACACACACACATATATACACACACACATGCACACACACACACACACACATATATACACACACATACACACACACACACACACACACACACACACACACACACACACACACACACACACACACACACACACACACACACACACACACACATATATACACACACACACACACTACACACACACATATATACACACACACACACACACACACACATATATATACACACACACACACACACACACACACACACACACATATATACACACACACACACACACACACACACACACACTC